TTATCGAAACGTATCTATCAAATAGTATACGATTTTTAAATTTCAATCGGATTTACGCCAAGAGATTACAAATTGCTGAAAAGCTTTTTGTTTGATTTTTACGAATGTAAACGTTTAATAACTGTTTTTATATCGCCTTTTTAAAACATTCGATGATTACGATCGAGCCCGGCTCGCAATAGTTAACCACATTTATGCGCTATTTCAATTTTGATACAACATCCTGCCAGAAGACGCGCCTTATTCGTCACGGAAGAACAAGCGCATTCATGTCCACTATGACCATTAAACATAATGAGCTGAGCAGCGCTATGCATGATTATATCGTAAATTCTCGTATCTTTTTGTCACTTTGGCACTTAATTGCCTATTGCCGAGACTCGCTCATTTACAGGATGTCTCAAAATTAACAGAGAGTGGAAGATTACACCTTGCAAAGTTTAGAATCAATTTTTGTCATAGTCTGTCTATAACGATATCAATTTTCTGAAAATTCCAACATTGACGTCTCCCTCGTTATTGAAAACGGAGAACATAGTTTTAATTTAACGGCTTATTTATCAAAGTATAGAATATTGAAATTTAAAACGTTGCAACGCATAATGATTTCCCTTTCTATTAAGGAAAATTTGATCCTAAGAAGCACCGTAATGTGTCTATTTTATGTTAATTCCTGAACATCCTATTTAACGTTCATTTTGCATCGCATTTTCTTCCTTATTCATTCTTGTCGTTTAATCATAGTCCCGTGCATGATTTGCGGATTTTCATCGATCGTCTTAGAAAGAAGATCCGGTTTAATGGAAGATCATACTACATGCAGAATTACGCAGCTGATATAAAAGTAGCTATTTATCGTAATATTATGACATAACGTTGAAAAAAATATCATGCGCGTTCTAATAATAATTTTTCAGTCAATGTTTTATCTCAAGATAGCTTCTGATTTCAGACACTTATAAACTATAATCTGGAGCGTTGGAATATCCCCATCAGTAACAGTAAATTAAAAGGGCTGGTATCTAAAATTATTTCACCAATAAAATGAAAGGATAGAATCTGTGCGATAAATACTTCATAAGTTTGTCATAAAAATATCTGTCCGCTACGTGCTGTTTAAATCTAGGTAGCTTTATTAAGCCACTCTTCATCATAAAAGACAAATTTTCCGACTTTACCTTGTTGGCTTCTAGCGTTGCTAGAAATGGCTATTACCGCAGCGAGGGATTAACGAGGGTTTTCGAAGCGACGAGATATCCGAAAGAGGTGACCGCACGTGTCCTCTCTTGGGATCACGGGCGACGAATCCGTTCCTGGCGCCATGGTGCGCGCCGCGAGAGATGCAGTACGGTGTGTGGTTGCCAGTTGCACGCCGGCCGATACCCAGTCTCCGGCCTGGCTGCAGCTGCGAACCGGTTATATACTTTCATCTGGCAGTCTTAGCACGGCCCCTAAAAGAGAATCCGCTGACTACAGCGGTGGCGCGCGAGGAAAAGAGAAAGGAGAGAAAATAGTAGGGAGGGTTAATGCCTGTACCAAGGCACGCTTATGCATCGGAATAAAGGACGTCCAACGTCTCCCCCGCTCTTTCTTTTTTTCTTTCCTCATTTCAACTCTACTACTTCTTCTGGTACCAACACTCTCTTTTGGCGAGTTGCATACTTAGCCGAGTGGGGAGACGGTTCGTTCGAAAACAAAACAAAAATTGCCGCACTCGAGTTACGGGACGATCCGAAGGCAATATTTGATGAGATCGTATGACGGTCACCGTCGCGATGAAAAGTGCATCCTGTTCGACTGGTAATATATCTCACACATACATACTTGCAGGCTGATTGACCATAGGCCAATCATTTGGCCTTGTAAGACCGTCGTAAAGCGATATTAAGCTAAGCGCTTCTTACAAGTAAAAATTAGATGTATCAGCACCTGTCTTGCTGCTACTGTATTTTGCGTGAAGTAGAATTAAAATACTTTTCACGCTAAAAATTACGCTGTAACCGATCTGTAAGCATTATTTTAGAAAAAGAATTAGAGTTCAGATTTTACTGGTAATTATGTAGCCATATATTAATCTTGAAATGTATGAAACTTTAAGGAATATTAAACTCTGTGTGCTCTTTCTTTTCTCGAAACTTAGCGGATGACACAATGATCAATTAGACTTTAAAAATGTGAACATAAATTTTTCGCGACAATCGCTGAACCAATAATATCCGCTTCCCTTGCTCTGTCGTTCTTGTCGTGAATGAGAAATGATACGGAAGCAGAACTTTGAGCCGCAAAGAGGCGTGCTACGTTAATAGTTTATCTTTGTGCTTATCTTCCGCGGCTGTCGCTTAAAGGAGCATCCGATAGCTGTAACGGTAAGCGCTCTGCGAGGATGAGAGAAAAGAGGATAAAAGAGGAATGAGAAAAGTTGATGCTTGTGTACCAAAGCACAGTTACATCTTCTTTTAGCTGAGCTATTACTATCGTCACGTTCCTTTTGGTAAATCGAGCGTGAAGTAGAATGGTGACCGTCAATGGAGATTTTCATGAGAACGAAGTGACATATTTTGCAACAAATTCATAACGCTTAGAAGTGAATTGAACTTCTTACAATCTATGATCGATAAAATTGCTTTCGCTGATCGAAAGATGTAAAAGAAATCAATAAAATAGGACAGAAAAGAAGAAAAAGGATAAAATAGAAAAATAATATCGAAATCACTCTCTTTTCTCTCCGAGTTTCAATAGATCGAGCGACATTAACGAATATCCAAACTAATAGAGTGATATACTGACGCGTAGACGACAAAGAAACTTCAATAGTCTGCGCGCCTTTACATTCACAGCCAATTTATTGCTACATCATCCTACGCGACGACATCTCTTTCAAGATCGTCATTGATATGTGTTGTCCCTATTTTATCTATAGAATTTCTTACGCGCGGCTTACCGTATAAGCGTTGTCAAGGTCCACTAACTTGATTTTACATTCGTAAACTGGGGACAGATTATCGTGACCAATTCAAATGAAAGGCAACCTTGAGACATGAACGTATGACTGATATTTAAAGAGAAATGTTTGGCAGAGGCGGTGATAAATTAGATTGTTTAAGAATCTAATAGTGATAAATCGATATAAACAATTGTCGTGAAAAAAATTACAGCTTTTGTCGAATAAGTATATAGCAATTTAACACACTTTTTCAGCAATTTAACAAAATATAACTACGCCAAACCTGCGATTTATTTTACAATTTTTTATTCTGTAATTTTTGCGTTATTTTTTATATTTTTAATGTAAAAAAATCATTATTATTTTTAATTCTATAAACATAAATTGCCTGTAATAATGTTGTATGTACTTTATTGATGTATAAGCAAAATTCTTCTTTAAATTTTATTTTTATCTTTTATTAACTTTCTATCTGTGATTTAATTTGTGTGTGTATAATTTTAATCTATCTGCAACTTTTTAATATTGGAAGCAGAAAAGCAATGTACGAGACATCTGAGGTACAGTGTTGGAAGTATGATTCACCTGGCCGGTTAGTCAGGTTCAACTCACTTAACTCACAGTAGGTACACTGCGATCCACACGTCATTTCAGCCCAATAGATCATCGAATTTTTCTACACACACGTACCAACCTGCTAGGTTTTAGTTAATATAATATTGCTTGTCGATAGCATCTCTCGCGGATAAAGCAGAGCTTTACGATTTTGATACTAATCTAATTAGTTAACAGATTAGTGTTCACATTTTCTTAGAATTTATATGATCTAATGTCTTAAATGACGTTGAGTAAAAGCAACACTATGTATTATTGTTTCCATCCATATGTATGAACTAAAATTAATATATGAAAAGTATACCATAGAAATTAATTATAATAATAAAAAGAAATTGTTTCATTCTTACATTCTTTTCTCGTTTATCATCTTATTTTCAGACACTCAAAAAAATATTTCGCTGATGTAGTTAGATTTCTAGATATCGCAACAAGAATGTATCGCTATTTTTCGTATCTGTGAAAACATTGTTTGTCACATATAGAATTTATAGCAGTAATGTTCTAGCAATAGCTTCTGAAAAATTTAGGTACCATTGCTAAATGTTATTCATTGCATGATCTAACAAGTGATTGATCTTATATAGATAGGCGCTTTAGAGAAACTTTCTTTTTAAAGTTCACAAACAATACAGATATATATTCTGTTTCTGTCATCTAAACTGATTAAGTAATTAGTTGCTAATCATTTATCTGTTTTAGTTAATTTTTTACACCTAGAAAATTTTAGCTATTATTGCAAGATCATTTTTTTGAGTGGAAGAGTAAACTGACGTTATTGATCCGAAAATATTTAAAAAAATTTTACAATATATTTTTGTTATAGCATTTTTATATAATTATATAATTTCCAAGCTTTTGTCTTTTCTTGGAATTATTATTATTTTATTCTTCGTAAGTCAACAAAACCGTGCATTTAAGGTTGAAAAATCCTTATTAATAATATGTTATCGCGATCCTACGGAATACATCCGACGGAAGATTGTACCATTACGCTAATAATCGCGCTACCGCTTCCTTCCCATCAACGATCGACGATCTCCGGGCGGTATCCCACTATTCTTACAAAATATATCTTCCCCTGCGGTGCGGTGAGGTGGCACAGGTGACCGGAGGTTGCGACGGGGAGGGAAGAGGGGAACCCCCTCGTGCACGCCTCGGGGAGCACGATGGGCTGAATTTAACTTGGAACAACCGTACGTTTTGTGGTGTTCTGTGCACGGTCAGTGCTCACGCCACAGAACGAATGCCAGGCAACGATCTGCGCTCTCCCGACGGGAACCACGCTGGCTTCGTTCGAACCTTCAGTTTACTATCGTAAGCTCACTCGGACAGGTGAGTGAGCTCGCGCTCACGGCCAATTGGCCGGCGACAAGGTTCTATGAAAATTTGGCGGACTCATTTGCCAGTTTATTTTCGTGATCGTAAAAAGAGATTTTCTATTTACAAACTGTTAATTGCATCGAACTTGGAGACAGCAATAAAATATTATGTGCAAAAAGTATTACAATGGAAAAAAAGTTACAAAAAAGTTTTACTCATAACATCGGATAATGTAAATTTTTGTTTCTGATTCGTACTGATTAATAAACTGCAAAAGGTGTTGTTTCAAATTTGAATGGCTACCAAGTGCGTTGAAAAGATTTTTGTGAATCTAGTGACAGTGATTTAAACAATTAAATTATAGTAAATCGCTTTTCGTCATTATGTGTGCAGTGCTGAAATAACGCGATAGTGATGCAGTTAAAAAAATATCTGCGTTACTTTAGTGTTTCATCGATAATATAGTATACAACGAATCGACGATGATAAATCAACCCAATTTGTGAACACACGGTTTACAGACATAATTGAATATGTAAATACATTTTGCACGTTTAGCAATTACGCTTACGTAGCGCTGACAACGTGAAGTTACGATAAGACAATTGTGTGAATAAAGACGATCATTTTTATCACAGAAACATACAACGAAGCGCTGTTCCCGCCATTGTACACTGTACAAAAATTCTGGTAAGTCAAAGACATTTGCGAACAAACACTTGCTGTTGTATACGCGCGATTCTGATAGTCCAAGCCTTCATTTTAATCAAATTAGACTTTTGTTTCTCGTATATTAAAAAAATGCTTCAAACACATTTCAACGTTTTCAAATTTACATATTGATTTGCAGGATTACTTATAGGATTTAGTTAAAATCCGTGGGTATTTACTTTATCCTCTTGATTTTGATAAATTTAATTGTCTCTTTTATCGGATTTGATTGTGACCGTAGTCGGTTCGCAATTTTTTAGAAAGTTCCGCAGAACTTTAAAACGTGACATTGACAGACAGCACGTCCATCACAGTCGACGTCCTGGTACGAATTATGCCAGTGTGAAATCTCACGAATCTGACGTGCAATTAATGCTTATCTGACACCACTGCTCAAAGTTTCATTCGCGGAATCAAAGGTATTGTTAGTTAATCTTCGATAACTGGCCTTGCGAACTATAAAGCACGCCTTTCGTTTATACTTATCATCATATAATTAATATTCGATAAAAATTTCAATAAGAAGCAAAAGAAATATGCATAATTAAGATAAAATTAAAATTATTAAAATTACTATGGTGTATGAAACACATAAAAGTAAAAATAACAAACTTATTATTTCCACCATGAAAAGACCTTAATTGTGGCTTTCCATTTTCTATTCCATAACTTTCATAATAATTAAACATATGAGTGTTAGATAAAAATAGATTTAAAATTATTTGCAAAAATTAAAATTATTATAAAATATAATTGATTATTACGAATCTAAATGTATTCATGTGTTTTTTTCCTGCATGCTATTCACTTATGCCGTGACTTCCGTTTATTACGGAATCAAAAATTAAACGTTGATGCAGCTAATCACTGGATAGTTAGCGATTGTTAGTAACTGACCCAAATTTCCTTATGACGACATATTAGTTATTAAACGAGAATGCTCATGACGCAAGAGTGCAATCGCGCTTTAACTCACAATCAGTTATGCATCTTGTTATGATCTTATGAAATAAGATCTTTTCTCTTTCAATAATCATGCCATTGTATCTCATTGTAATTATTCCTACGAGACAACACACTGCTAATTTCACTCCCACGAGTAACGTTTCGTTGTGCTGCAGTGTGAAAAGGAAATTCATTTTACTTATATGCTTCTTTCACAGTAACATCTGTCTACTGTCGTAACACCAGATGTAACCACAGAATAATAGGTAACCCCATAATCGGCGAACTTTTATTAATGGAAATACTAACGTTTCTGTATTATATGTGTTCTTTCTATACATTAATTTACTGGATTACAAATATTGAATAAAAAGTTAAAGAGAATATTTTTTAAATTAATATTTCTTTAAATAAAAATACTTAAATCTGAAAAATAAAAACTCTAGAAAATTTAATTAAAAAGTTTTCATTCTTGTTTTCGTAGACTGAGTATTAAAGCGTACGCAAAAAGAAATATCGTATCGATATCACAGACAACTGGCGTGTTCGCACTCACCGAAAAGATCTTTTACGCATGTGCTTGTAGTATGATGGAGCTCGTCACGCGAGGAAATTTTGTATGGGGTTGGCTGGGCAACAGACAGTATTATGGGTGTATGTCAATATCCCGGACAGTGTTATCATTCGGAAGCATGCATGGCAGGTGTAGGAAATGACGTCACGCACCTCGTGACAGCCCCCACTGGAAATACGACCTTACTGCCCCTTTATTCGAACCAGCATGCATAGAGAAAACTTCCTTTATGCAGATACAAGTTACTCTTTTCAGAGACTCATGGGGATCATCGCTGTACGAATAGTTTGCGTTGAAAGTGAAAACTGCCAGTTGTTGAACAATGAAATTATTCTATTTAGAGCGATGATATTATTGATCAATCTTCTTGAAGAATTTCGCGAAGGTGAATGCAGCGAGGAGTTTAGTTTTTAAAGAAAATTTTAGTCACGCGATCTTCTTCATGCTATGTACTCAAATATTATACTTGTAAATAAATAAGCTAACAAAGTTGATGAATTATATAATAGTAATTAATTATATAATAAAACTGTGATAACACTGAGCAAAAGTTTTAATACAAAACAATATTTGGCGATGCTGAAAGAAACTGCATATATTATGCCACAAAATTATATAGAAATCGTAATAATTATGTAGTAATCGTGATATAAGATCTTAAAAATTGTTTTAAAAATGTACATATAAATATCGCTTAAAATCAGATGATCATCACAGACGAAAATCGTATTACATAATAATTCTTATCAATATTCATGCAGAATAATGAAAAATTTGCTTCCTGTATGGAGGCTGTCGTTTTTATTCGTTTAAAATCAGATAGCGCACGTAGCAGCGTGCACATTTGAATATTCGTGTACATCGCACATCGAGCTGCCTCGCACTAGCCTGTTATTTAGCAGAGTCTTAAAAGTCAAGAGCGTGGCCGATACACTCTGTTGGCAAGAGGAGCACCGTTCGGCGTACTCACTCAGTGTTTCTTAAGTGTCAAACTATCCTAAAAGGGAGTTCTCACACAAGCACGGATCAGTGCGAACATTTCTTCCGTGTAACTGCCAAGTTTTGTCAAATGTTGTGTTAAAACTATCGGATGTGCTTTTAAGCACAAATTTCCTAATTAATTTGAATCAATTTTGCTTTATTAAAACAATGAGATCGTTACTTATTTTAATTTTCACCCAACTTTGTACATCTTTCCATAATTACGTTGTACATAAAAATTTTCTTTCTGAAATTAAATCAACTTGGAGTTAAATAAAAAAATATAATTTTGTTATTTGTTCCTCAAAGTTTCTTTAGCGTTTCGGAATGGCTTTTAGCTGTATGACTTTATAAACTCCATGAAATTACTTTTGGCGAAAATTGACTTGTTTTAATAATAGTATTTTTTTCTCAAGATTCTGATATTATTATACATTATCATCGCTTCATTAGCTGTGTGTAAGATTTTAAAAGAATCGAGCTATTATATACACCTTGCGTAACGAGTAGCGGAGATCTATATAGTTGCGAAAATCATTCTTTTAATCCGTAATACGGTTGTACGTCACAATTTAAGCATCGTGAGAAAACGTCGCTTCTTCCGGCAAGCTTTCACTCCGGTTTAATCTTCGTGATCGTTCGCGACGAGATACTCTTGACATTGCATCAAGACGACGTTTTACCGAGGAGAAAGCAACCACTCAGCGTGAATACCGGTTTACTAGTTTATCAAACTAAATACAGCAAATAAATAGATTGCATATGTGTGAAATGAAATATATTGAAGCCCGCGGAAAATGCAAAAAAATTAATATGATTAAATATAATAACGCATCACGCTTTCACATTCTACCTTATTTATGAATTCTCTACTTCTTAGCTCGAACTTTCAGTCAAGACCTATATTTTATTTTAAATAGTATAAATTTTGTTATAAATAACTTGTAGTAATATTCTTGCCAATAATTGCACGATTATGCATTATTTCAGGAGACTGAGAACTGATCTAATATTTTGCGAAAAGAATCATGCCGATTAAAAGTATCGTTCGACCAAGATGACGTCGGATAAGCAAGCGAGATCGTCTTCCTGGCTATTGCGATCGTGTAAAAGAAGCCGGTTTAAAGTAGAATTGCTATACTTTGTGTTTGGATATTTAGTGACACACTGCTCGGCTAGAAACAATCCTCCCAGATTCCTCATAGATGGACAAACCGAAATCGTACTCAAATTTAAGGAGGGACCTGAGACTCCAATTGGTAAAGATTATCATATTTTTTTAAAAAAACTTGCTCTATTTTTAAACAAAATTTAACTTTAAGTAGACACAAACTCTCTTATAATTTCATAGATCATAAATTTATAAAATATTGTTCGTTTTTATCAGCAATTTGTGAGATAGCATCACTGTGAAAAAAACACAATTAGACTAAAAGAATTTATCGTCATCGAAACTTAATTATTGTTGTGTTATTGAACTGCATGTTCAACTCTGATGCTCACGAAGAGCGTATTAATGTATACACGCGTTAGTGTTACGGTCGGCCACGGATCACAAAATTTATTACTAGTTTAATGCATCGACTTTCAAGCACCGTTTTACGAACCGTTGCTGCTTTGTTTTCAACTACGTAAATAGAACTTGTAATTAATATTTCTTTTTTGCTTTTATAGTATTCTTTCTTTGAACAAATAGTTATGTTTAAATGTGTTACAAAAATATGTATCTTAATAACCTTTATTGTGTCGAAAAATTGAAACTTCAACATTTTTGTCGTTAATTCGGCAATCACATATTTTTTCAAATACTCTAATTTGCAAATGTCATTAAATAAAAAAAATTTTTTGCAGGCAGTCTAATTTATAGACTCAAAGGTTTCGACCCAGATAGTGATATTCTGACATTCGGCGTTCGAGATCAGCCTGGTAGCGATGTGATTCGAGTCGAAAACTTTGGTTCCAATAAAGCCAACATTTATTTAAATAAATTGCTAGACAGAGAGGTAATATTCAAAATCTAAAATTTTTTATATATTTAGCAATAAAATTACGCGACTAATAAATGCCTAATTCTTAAATTCTTAAATTATTCAAAAACATATTTAGATTGCAAAAATTTTGAACCAATCATCTCTCGTATTTAGCAAATCAAATAGTCTTGTTAAAATTATGAAGTTATAGATGGTAAAGTTAAAATAAAATTGTAACAAATTTTAATTTCAATAACAAATAAATATTTAAAGAAGTCAATTGCTAAAAAAACAGTGACTAATCAACGTCGCTAAGAAAGAAAGATAATACGCGAAGAATACCGCAATAATGCTTACTTTTGTCTCAACATCGTACTTATTTTCGTTTTGCATGAGCGATTTACGCGCCTTAATTCTTCTTTCACTGATCTGCTAGTCACAGTCTAACAATGTCGAAGTCGTTAAAGAGAAATTTAAGTATCAACAAGAGAGACAAACATAATTTGTGACTGATCATCTTCACAAGAATCCACGACGCAAAGCTGTCATTTACAGCCACCATCGGCATACGCGTGAAGTAACATGGGTCTGAAATTAACTTTCTATCGTCAATGATAGTGCTTGCGTTTGGAACATAATCATCACGGACGATGGTAAAATTTTTAATATCTGCGATGTTCGTGCTCGGTTTAGATTACGCGTATATACTTTAGTTTCCGTTTACTTTCTTATGCGTTGCTAAAGCTCAAGTTAAGTATTCGAAAGTTTACTTTGTATTTCCAGTAATTTATATACAAGAGTGGTCCTGTATAATTTTGCTCAGACATAATTTGACATCGAATTATTCATGCTCTATTAGATGAGAGATGAGTACGCGCTCGTGTTAACATTGACGGATGGAAGACTGGGAGAAGGGAACTTTATCACACAAAGTCTGTTGCTTGTGGTCGAGGACATTAATGATAATGTACCGATTTTTCGTCCGCATCCCACCTCCTTAACACTTCGGGAAGACGCGCGTGCAGGAGGAGTCCTAACGACGGTGGAAGCTACCGACGCCGATTTGGGTGCTCATGGTCAAGTAGTGTATTACCTTCAAGAGCTGGACGGCGATAACAACGTTTTCAGCATATCGACCGTCAATGGCAAGGGCGTTATACGCTTGGTCGGTTCTTTGGACTACGAACGAAAGTATCTGTACCAACTGCGAGTCCTGGCCGTAGACCGCGCGATAAATGAAAAGGTATATGTTTTGTTAAATTTGTATATTACGATTGAATAATATTATTCGCTCTGATGTGCGCGATATCGTAAACGGCAACAAAACTGAACTATTATTTTATTTTTACAAATATTATTATTAGTGTGATGTATAGTTCTATCTACATAATTGTAATATTTTTTGTGCTCGTTTGGTTCTTTTTTCTGGTGGTTTTCTTATAAATATTGTTCAATGTTACGCAACTAATATCTAGAATCTGGAATACATGTTTGCTGATCTTTCCGCCAATTATACGGGTGTTATCTGCGCGATGCGCGAATATTTCGTAGATAAAACCCGTATGGCCCCTATGTTTATGGGATAGTTCAGTGACCTTTTCCGGCAAATTCGAGCGCAGTGAAGGGTGAACAATGCCAAGGAGATGGCTATCTACATGGCCGTCGTTACAGTTATTTATTATAGTCATTTACTTAAGAAAAACTTCCTAAAGCAGTTTATTTATATACTTAATTATTTCAGGTAAATACGGGAACAACCGCGATTCTGATCAAAGTGCAGGATGTGGAGGATCAACCGCCGGAATTCATAGCCATGACGCCTGTCGCAAGAATTAGCGAGAATGTTAGAACTGGTACATCCGTTTTGCAAGGTCAGCATTATATCTCGCGATTTAAACAGAAAATTAGATTTAATTTATGTGCTAATAAAATTAATAAATAACGGAATAGATTTGTGGAGTGGAAAAAATTGTCTTATTAAAACAAGGCACTAATAAAAATGTAATAGCATTAACATTTCTCATCTAATTTTTTTTTCTAATTAATATGGAATTCCGTTCGAATCATAGTGTTATTTGCACGCACACGTGCCACATATAAAGCACTTTTGTCTTCGACAATAAATCTCGTTGCAGTTCGTGCCGTGGATGGTGATAAGGGGATAAATAACAGAGTGACGTATAGCATCACGAAGGGACCGAGGGGTCTGTTCGATATTGATGCCACTTCTGGCCTCGTGTTCACCATAGCGCAATTGGATAGAGAGGCCGACGAGAATAGCGATGGCACTTTCATTTTAGAAATTACAGTAAGAGAAGTATCGAAAGTTAATCCGCCGCCGTCTGTCAGTACCGAAGTCACTATCATTCTTACTGACGAAAATGACGAGACGCCAACGTTTCGAAGCATGATGTACCATGCCGAAATAAACGAGAATGCGCCGCAAAACACCCCGGTCACCTTTATCGGCGATGCCGTACCGGAAATCTTTGATCATGACTTGGTAAATTAGGAATTGTTAAACTATTATTTTCAGAATTTCTAAATTTGCATAAAAAAGATTTTAAAAAATATTATTTCCTAGTGTAACCTTTTTCTTATAAATTTTGAGAATGTCTTTTATAAGTGCGGTGAACTTTTCAGGGTTCCAATGGCACCTTTAATATATTTATCAAAGGTAATGCTGGAATATTCGATGTAACACCATCTCGTGGGATCAACGAGGCGCCTTTTCTAATACGCGTTAAGGATCCGAGTAAACTTGATTTTGAAAAAATATCAGGTAAAATAACAGCAGTATAGTTCTATTTTTATTGACTAAATTATATGCACTACTAATTGTATTGTGCATATGCAAAATTTGATTTAATTCTTGCAGTGGTAAATTTTACTCTCGTCGCGAAAGAAGACACGCCGATTTCGCCGAAGTACAGCGAGGTACCAGTTACGGTTTTCATAAAAGATCAAAATGACAATTATCCGGAATTCACGAAAAGTGTTTACGAAGTCTCGATACCAGAGAATTGTCCTGAAGGAACTACTGTAGCTTGGGTGCAAGCCTTGGATGAAGACAGCGATAACTTTGGAACGCATGGAATACGATATACAACTTTAAGCGGTAGCATTGCATACGCGTAAGATGATAAAAATAATTTTTTAAATCACATTATAATTTTAATATATAAAAAAAATATTGAGGAAATCTTTTTATTAATCAATATAGTTACAAAACAACTATATCGATAGCAAAAAATATTAAAATTATAAAATCGCAGTAACTATTTTATTCATAATAACGTTTGTTTTTATTATAGATTGACAATGGACGCTCTTACCGGTGTGATTACTGTCAAACATTCCGGACCAAGCTTCGATCGGGAATTAGTAGCTCAACATCATATCACGGTCGAAGCACGAGACGATTTCGGAAAAGGAAATCGCAACACCGCACAACTGATAATTAATATTGACGATCTTAACGATAACGCACCTATATTTATACAAAACAAATACGAAGCGGTATTGCTGGAAAATGAGGATCACTTTGAAGCACCTCTAGTCGTCGAAGCATCCGATAAGGATTTGAACGGTGAGATAACGTTTAATAAGCAAAAAAAAATTTGCAGAAATAATTTATACATCTCTGCTTATTTTACATGCGTTATGTATCCACAGGAACGCGAAATAGTGAGATAGTTTACGCTTTAGTATCGAGCGAATTCTCCCGAAATTTTACAATCGATCCGAAACGCGGCATTGTGACACCCGCCCGTCCTATGGATTACGAGGCTCTGCCTATTCATCAAGGGGACAGAGAAACGATAATACGTTCATTGAAATTGACAGTGAGAGCCAGAGATATGGGCACGCCGAGTTTGACTTCTGACGTTTCCCTGATTATTTATTTGAGAGACGTTAACGATAATGCGCCGGTCTTCGAAAGAATGTCGTATAAAATGAGTATACCCGAAGATTTTCCGGGTGGCACGAGTGTTGTGCAAGTACGTAATTATTAATAATATTATATATATGTATAATGTAAAAAAATGTCATAAAATTGTAAATAGAAATGTGAAAAAATTAAAATATTTAATTAATAATTAAAAATTATCCGATAAATAATAAATAAAAAATTATTCACAGGTAAAGGCTTGGGACAAGGATCAATCGTCGCCCAATAACAAGTTAGTTTACAGAATTCAGAGCGGAGCTGGGGACAAGTTCGTAATTAGTCCTGAAACAGGCGTGATCCAAGTAGCGCCGGGCTCGAATTTAGATCCTGATCTAACGTCGCCAAAGACGACGAGATATAACTTAAATGTTATTGCTATCGATAGCGGCACGGAGATTCAGCGCACGGCTCAAGTTCTCGTGAACATCACGATCTTAGATGTTAATAATAAACCGCCTGTATTCATTGATCCCGGAACTGTTACTTTTAGAGAAAACATGAAAGTATGTTATCAATGATATTTATCTGATATACAAAAATATGCATTATAATATTTGTCGGAAAAATATTGATAAATACATAAATTATTAGGTTGGCGAATATGTTTATCGCGTAGTAGCTCAAGATCCTGATGTAGCTCCAATATTACGTTATCAAGTGGATCCTAACTCATCGGAAGCGCGAAATGAGGAAGGCACTTTGATCAAAACACAGGAGTACGATTACTTAGCAGCGTTGAAGTTAAATCCAATTGATGGGCTGCTGCGCATAGTAAAACTGTTAGACAGAGAAAGAGTAGAAACTATTAGACTGGGACTCGTAGTTGAAGATTTGGCCGCAGTAAGAGGTTTGCAAACTGCGTCTGGTGAGTATAACAAATTCTTTTGTAAGTAAAAGTAGTGAGACTTTTCACCAAATATTTTTCAGACAAATATCTGAACAGTTTATCACTGTGTAATTGTAAAAATATATATGTTTGTAGTAAACGTATTCTTTTATTTTTTAATATCAGAATGCAATAATAATGCTACGAAAATGTTTGCAGCCACGCTGAACATAATTATCGAAGATGAGAACGACAACAATCCCAAGTTCCGGAGACCCTTTTACAGACGCTCCGTCACCGAAAACAGCAAAAATGGAATTAATATCGCGAATATCGTTGCTGACGACGCTGACAAAAATCGTAGCATCACATATTCTTTACAAGGCCCGAAAGAGATAACTGATCTCGTGCATCTGGATTCTGAGACCGGAGAAATGGTCGTCGCTAGTAAAATTGACAGAGAACTATATTCGTGGCTTAATTTAACGGTTAAAGCCACGGATTCTGGAATTCCGCCTCGGTGAGAATTGCGCGATTAAAAAATTATGTGTTACTATATTATTTCGAGCTTGGATAAATTTATATTAATTTCTCTATTCTCTTCTATTAATTTCTTTCTCTATATAATTTTCTAATTTGTTATATTTAATTTGGAAAATAATTTGCGATATCTGATTAATAATGTTTCTACAAACGATTAATTAAATTATGTAAATTATTTTGTAGATCAAGCTTATCGGAAGTATACGTTCAAGTGTTAGACGAGAACGACAATAATCCGTATTTTATATCAAATGTCAGCAGTGTAACTGTCATGGAGAACTCAAAAATTGGCATGGAAATTGCCGTCATACAAGCGGCAGATCCCGATAGCGGAGATTATGGAAAAATCACCTATCTTTTAGACAGAATGTCATCCCAGGTAAAAAATACAAATTCATAACTTTAATTTAATTTAATTAAATTAATTAAATTTAACTGAATTTCACCTTTAAATGACATATTAAAATGATTATGTTATTTAAAGGTAAAATTAAATTGTAGTGTAATAATTATTTTAATTATACACACTATTATAATAAAATGTTATATTTCGAACAGGGGACTTTTGCTATTCACCCAGAAACTGGATCGTTAACAGTGGCTGATATTCTAGATTGGGAGAGCAGACATAATTACGTTCTAGTTATAGAAGCTTGGGATAATTATCAGTTTGGATATACGGCCGGGGAATCTCGAAACGCGTTTAAACAGATTCAGTATGTTCCATAGCTTTCAGACACAATTTAAATACAAGTCGCGAAGCTATTAAAGCGGTATTATTATAAAACAAAGGGCTGTTTCAGGGTAACAGTTGCCGATGTGAATGACAATGCTCCGAAAATGGACACACCTCAAAGCTGCGTCTCGATATCAGAGTTTCATGACATACGCGATTTAATTTACATCATAAAAGTGAAAGATGCCGATGATCCAACAACGCAAAATGGGCGCGCCATAATTAAGATAACTTCGGGAAATGAATTAAGTGCGTAATTAATTTTCAAATGTTGTTCGATTCAATATTTATCAGCGTCAGTAATGATGCTGGATGATATTAATAAAATATTGATCAGCAGATTTATTTATATTGGAACAAATTGATTATTGGACGGCAAAGATAAAGGCCGCACAGTCGCTACGAGGAAAATTCGGAAATTACACATTAAATATTGAAGCGCGCGATTTGGGAACGCCGTCCCATAAGGATAATGGAATTTTGGAAATTTGTGTCACGGATTACAATGATAATCCCCCTGTGTTCATCAGTCCTCAACACAACACCACAATTCGTGTTCCAGAGGTTCGTGCCGCTGGCCAATTTGCATAATGCGGTATTTTTTATTCACACGAGATGATATTAACGGTACAATGTCATGGAATGATTTTAGAACGTAACAGTGGGAAGTCCGATTATTCAAATCGAGGCGAGAGATGACGATACAGGATTAAACGGCGACGTGCATTATCGGTTAAAACAGGACCTTGCGGGTCATTGGAGAACTTTCCGCATCGACGAGAGGACCGGCGTGATATCTTTAAAGTTACCACTCGATAGAGAAACGCAGAAACTATACGAGGTATGTAAAAGTATAAAAATGTAAGATGCAAATTAATAATTAATTATTCTGTTTTATATCATTTTAATTAATTATTTTAAAAATGTATCTCTAATATAGATACGAATCGAAGCGTACGACTTAGGTACGCCGACGCCTCTAAGTTCGGATCTCGATTTAATTATTTACGTGCGGAATATCAATGATTTCGAGCCGCAGTTTCTAGTGAAAATTTTTAATATCAACTTCACGGAGGAACAATCTCCCGGATCGGAGATCATTTTACTTCCGGAAACGATCGATAAGGACGAAGTGGACGACTTGGATGATCCTCCCACGCAAGTTTGTTATTTCATAGTTGGCGGGAACAACGAAGGACTATTTGTTTTAGATATCTATAAGCACGAACTAAGCGTAAGTTCCTTACTAAATAATATATTAGCAATTTACACTTTTCATCTGTTGGTCATTTAAAAAAAAAACTTAATATAATCTATCGTTTAGACTGCCAAAATACTGGACAGAGAACAGCAAGAAGAGCATGTATTGCTTATTAAAGCAACGGAAGATTGCAAGACCGTTCCAGAAAATAAAATGACATTTAACGAGACGGATGACACCTTGTTACAAGTCATCATAAGGGTTGATGATATTAACGATAACGCTCCGCAATTTACTAGCAAGATTTTTACGGGCGGCGTCACCACTGAGGCCGATTTTGGCACGCAATTCATGCATGTCAAGGTAAATTGTTTTCTAAAAGTACCTACACTGATATGTTTTTGCGTTATAAAGCGTTTTCATCGCTGTGTATTAATTAATATTTAATCTTAAAACTATCTAGCATTTTCATGCAAGTTTAATACGTGCATGCATATTACAGGCAATTGATTCGGATATCGGCGACAATGCTGTACTCAGTTATTATCAAGTAGGCAAAATTCACATGACGTTAACCGAAGGTTTTGATGATATGCAACTGCAACCATTTCTTGTAAATAAGGATACCGGGGCAGTGAGTCTGAATTTCGATCCTCAGCGAGGAATGAAGGGTTATTTTGATTTCATGGTAAATCTATTTTTTTATCAGAACAAATCTTTAAAACCTGTACTTATTTCATTACTAATTCATTTTTGCATGAGATTATCATCATTTAATTTATGTCTTATTTTACATAAAAAAAATTCAGTATTGAGATATAATATTATATAAATGCAGGTACTCGTTAATGATACGTATGGTTTACAAGACACCGCAAGAGTTTTCATTTATTTGCTACGGGAAGATCAAAGGGTTCGTTTTGTTCTCCGCCAGCACCCGCCAGAAGTTCGAAGTCACATCGACACATTCCGAGAGTAAGCGTAATATATTTTGCATGTTTGCATTAAGCAAAGTTGTGAATTTTTATAATTAAAATAAAAGAACAGAGGATAAGAAAACTATCTGAATAGTTAAATAATATCTAAAGTTATCTAATATTAAAATATTTCATTCGCAGAGTTCTGGGCAACGTAACGAGCGCTATCATTAATGTTGATGAATATAAAGTGCATGAAAATCAAGACGGTTCAGTAGATAGAACAAAAACGGATTTATATTTGCATCTCGTAAATCGTCGGGACAATTCGATTCTCGAAGTATCCGAGGTTCTCGAGTTGGTCGACAGAAACATCGAGAAACTCGACAATCTGTTCAAAGAGTTCAACGTCCTCGACACGCAGCCAGCAAAGCCTCAACCGCTTGTGCAGTACGAACAAGCCGGCACGACTTTCTGGCTCCTCACGTTGACTCTATTCCTAGGAGCCCTACTGATTCTATGTGTCGCTTTGTGTTTGTCTCAAAGAGCATCTTTCCGAAGGCAACTGAAAGCGGCGAATGCATCACCGTTCGGTAAATCTGAATGCAAATAGTGCCATTTCCATTAGTGCAACTCCCTAAATTCCTTTTGTTTCCCATTTTTAAAGATCTTTGTAAAAATAATATCTTTTTATATAACATATTTTATATACATTAAAAGAATTGCTGCTAATATCGTAAAAATCTTGCTAGATAATTTTTTTAACAATTAAAATATAAAATTAATTTGCCTGTATAATAAATACATGATATTCTATGAGAAACACTACAGAATATCTCGCTATAATCGGGAAATATCACGAAATAATTTCAATGATATATTTAAATCGTTCTATTTTGATAACCGAAAGGTGCGTCAGACTCGGAATTTATTCGAAGTCCTGGTCGCGTTCCGAATACGAACAAACATAGCGTGGAAGGATCGAATCCCATATGGATGCACGCTTACGAAAACGAGTGGTTCAAAAGCGACGAATCGTTCAGCCATACATCCGAAAGAGATTCTCTTGATGAGAATGCACTTAATAACGAAGACATGATGAACGAAGCTAATACTAACCAAAGAGCCGAAGACAAACCATATTATATAGAGCCAAGAGTTACAACTATTTCTAGGTATGACGTCGTTATATATATATAACGTATGATGCAAAATATAATTTATATTTATGTATTTTCTGCTATTACAGTGCCGAGAGTATCGATATTCAAAATGATTTTAGCAGAAATTCACCGATTTACACGGGACACAATATCGTCAATCCTTTGGGGAAGAAAATTGAAACAACAGAATTGTAGTGGATCGATAAGTGTCGAGATTATAAATGATTGATTATTTATGCCACTATTATTTAGATGTAGCATGCAATGCAAAATTATTTTGTAAATAATTATGTTGCATCGATCGAAAAAGATAGTACGACTTCTTATCGGCAATTTCAACTTCATTTTCGCAAAGTATTTATTGTATGTGTGAGAGCGCACGTGAGTTCAGTATATAAAAAATAATGTACTCTTAATTTATACTGTATGATATGTAAGAGATACATTGTATTGTTATAGTGAGTGCTGAGTTTTATATGCGAATTAATTTATGCATTAATGTTAATCAACATCGACTAGGTACTTGCACAACAAATTTTGTACACCCTTTGTATTTTTTATAGACAAATATAAAGATTTTTTTTCAGTACATTCCATATTTTTATTCCTAGTTAGAAGTTTTTTTTGATTAAAATAAAGAGCGTGAAAATTACACGGAAGTAAATACGGTCAATAATAAATTAACCTTCCCTTTTTTGTCCAGTATTAAATGGATTATATTTATGGCACGTGGCGGTAGCAACATATATGACAGAAAATAAGGTACTGGAAACAATAATTGCGGTTATTTTCTACGCACGGGTCTAGCAGGTCACGGGTTGAAAAGTCAGGTAGCCGAGGAAACAACTACCTACTCCCTTATCGTCTTCCTGAACGTCAGGGTTGCGTGCAACCTCATGCTAATCTAAGGCGGCTATATAACCGACCGGTCAGCGTTCGACCTCACCCGCGTACAAGCGTCTTTAAGCTCTTGAGGGCGTTATGGCGTCTCTTGCCCTTTCCATATAGATCCGCGATTATAGCGTCGTTCCGCTAATGGAAATTGTTGGCAGTAAAATTTTCTAAATTTTGTTCAAACTAAATTCTATTTCTTCAAATATTTTTTCGTTTTTAAATATTCTACTATATTTCGTAATCGATGTTATTATTTTTTTAATTAATACAAAGCAATGCGTAATTTTATAGCTGTAATCCTCAGAAATTAGGCTTGCGATGATTATCAGTATTCCTAATAGACACGCAAATCTGCGTTAAGAAACCCTCTACATTAGAAGGGTGACAACTTTTACTATCTGATACCTAATTACACTATCTGATCAGGACACTAAGTCATCAAAGTTGCATTACTCTTTTGTATCGCATCTATATATAGAACAGACTTTAAATACATATACTTCAACAAATTCACAAAACTGTTTTATATAATATTTTATCAATAAATAAAAAATTTAATACACCATTAATCAGTTTAAGAAATAATGAAAAATGTGCTTATCATCGTATAACATTTAAATATTAAAATGACAAAATTATCAATAAAAACAATTGCTTTAATTTTATAATAAAATTGCAGGTAATGTCATATTTCCATACTTTTGAAAAAATATATTTGTACTATCTTATACGATCGCGGAAATAAAAAAGAATAGTGGTCAATTTTAGTGCGTGGTTATTTCTTTGTTGACTTGAAAATTGCAATTGATTTAAAAGTCATCACCAATTACAGATAACGAGATGTATCTATGAAATTATGATGGAGGGGATGGTCGCCGCTCGTGACGTACACGTGACTTGTAGAATCGCGTCAACGTGGGGGTTGAACAGTACAACCCTTTCACACGCGCGACGTACGTGGCCGCGTGAAGTGTGCTTCCACACGATCCTTGAGAATGTCCTCTTTGGGTCACGATTGTTCGTCAAACGTTTCGGTGATTTCTTTCGAGTGTAATTCTCGAAAAAAAAACGATAAACGTATGATAACGTAGAATTTAACTCTTTACACGGAAAAATTAGTGATTATTTATGAGAAAAACAGAGATAGTGAAAGGAATAATGTTAAAAACGTTGAAGCGAGGATTAAGTTACTTTCAAGAACCGTTTCTAAAAAACAGAACTGCAAATCTTTTCATTTCTGAAATGTGTGCATTATGGCATCGCCAAAAAATTTATTCGACCTGTGATCAATGGGTGTTCGTATAAACATGAACTGTGTGACGATCTCGTGATTCTCTGTGTTCAGGTAAGTTTATATATCCTTTTTGAATAAAAAAAAACTTCTATCTTAAATTACTTTTAATTATTCTATAATAATTTAAAAATCGTATTATAAATAAATGTACAATTTTCAAATATTAATGAAACTTTATCAACAATGAGTTTTGCGATCTTAATAGAGTGAAGTTTCAATGCAGTGCACGCAATGATAAGATCTTTAATTTTCCGGTCAAAAGCACATTAATAATCACTTTGATTTGTTCCTTTATAAAACAGAGAAAGATTCTTAATACAAATTTAAAAGATAAGATGTACTTTCCTTCTAATATAGTTCCGCGAAAGATATCATCAGAAAAGTTAGAGGGTTAATGACTTCTATCCATTCCACAATGAGATATCGTCATTGTATATTTATAGCGAAACGCCGATGCGATCGGCAAGACATATCGACATCTTTTACGTGCACTGAAACTTTGCGGCAGCCAGGCACAATACACAAGTCAAGCATGCATTTATTTATTATATATTTACAAGCTATTCGACGAAGAAGTTCACGTGGATTTTCAATCGCATTCGCGGATATCGATTTCTCGCAAATATCCGGCGATACCGGCACAGCCTGCAAATGCAAGAAAAAGAGAAATCGATCGTTCTGTGGACACTGACCGGTAAAAATATAGACGGTGCACGCGTGGGTGGGTTAAAGCCCATTTCATCGTTAAACAAACAAGACTCTTATTATGGATCCACCAAGGAAGTTGATACTAAATATTCCATTGAATACTTTACGTCCGCCACATGGTAGAATATTTATGCAATGTCAAGGTAGAAGACATTAACGGGAAATGTCCATCGCAAATAAAAATAAAATACGAATTGTATGGAGTAAAATATGTAGATATTTTTGCTGAAAAATTTTGGAAAATTTTATACATGACGAATGTAAAGAATATAAATTGTATATGTAAGAATAAAATCTGATGGGCCCCATGTATGATAATCAATTATTTGTAAAAAAATAGTATTTTCGAAATGTAAGATACATTCAAAATATTTTTTTAAATATTTAATTGTCCAGTGTTTTGAAGACTTAAAACACATTAGAATTTAAAAAAAGAGCACAGAGCGATCGATCAGTAGCGATCAAAGAATTTGACCTGTTTATCTTATTACATTGAGTTTTTATTCAGCAGTCACGCACTAAGAATGCCTAGACACGTCATTTAATCCATAGATCTTTTTGTACTATTCAATCAAATTCTGATTTTCTTTTGAGATAATAACACAATGATACAAGGATTAATAAAATACTATACATAAAAAATTAAAAAACTTAATTAAAAAATTTAATTATTTATTTAATTAAAAATGTTGCTAGAGAAAAGTTAATATTACGCAAAGCATTTGCTTGTTTTACGGCCGCTTAAAATACAGCCTAGAAAAGACATCATATTACTTTCTTCTTGAATGGATAAAACATTGTAAAATTTTGCTCGTTTAATGTTAGAGAAAACTAAAGATCCGATAAGCGGTAAAATATTCCGTCATAAAATTTATCTGTAGACTGAAACGAATGTACTGGACATAACAATATATTCCCGTAGAGAAGTGGTCGATGGCCCACATTTTCACCTTCTCTTTAACAATCACGCGCGTGCTGTACCGACACAACTACGTATCTAACAAAATGATTTCATCGACGTGAGGATAAAAACAAGTATATACAAAGTATCACAACATTTATGGAAAACAGAGTTGTAAAATTTCAGTAAAAATTCAACAATTTATTTGGAGTCGTAATTTTATATTAATTTTAATTTATATTCATGTATTATTAAATTTAATTTATGTAAAAATATTCATGAGATATTTGCAATAGATTAATACATAATTACGACAATTTGTCAGACATTTCAATGTTTCTAAACTTTGTAATCCAAATGAAAATAAAATTAAAACCGTGACGTTGAACAATTGATATACTGTTTTGAGACGCGACGATGAATACTCACGACCCCATTTCATGATCATAAAATCGATATTTACGATTATATCGAAACTTGCTATCTTTTCGCTATTTATGTCGATTACGTGTTGATCATAGTGATATGGTATTATCGATTCGCTTCCACTTACTTTATATTTAATAGATCTTATAAATTGAAGATATACCTTACAAATTACAGGTTTAATCCTCTCTAGGTTCAATTGTTGTTAAATTATACAAGGATTTCTTATTATCGTTTTTAGAATGCCCCTCGCAGGAGCATGGTTTAAGGTGTGGGTTTATTTGGGGCTCATTTGCGGTTGGGGCGAAGGTGCTCGACCACGCTTTGACACGTCCACAGACATGGGATTGGTATTGGTTCCAGCCGATGCCGAGGTTGAGTCTGTAATTTTCCGATTACGTGCCATCGATCAAGACGCGGACTTTCCCCTCATTTTTGAAATAACCGGTAATTAAAAAAAAGGAAAAAAAATTACAAGTGTTAATCGTTATTGAAACGCAATTTACGATCAAAGTTTGAAATGATTTCTATATTTCGTTCTAGCAACGATCACGCCTGTTGTAAGAATCGACAACCTGCCATGTACGTTGTACAACAAAGTCTGCCAAGCTAATGTAATTTTAACCAAACGCCTTATGGCCGGACGTCTTCACGATTTCGCCGTCAGGGTTCGGGATACTAAGGGAGACTCAAATTCGATGCAGGCTACGATTTCCGTAACAAACGCTACGACCTCGCGTGATAAAATATTCCCCCACATTCCTACTTTGATAATGGTGCCAGAGGTAATTATTATCAACGCTTCCGCTAACAACGTTAATTAGCGCGCATCGCAATTACTCCGACGTAAGATATAATACAGTATAAAATGCACTATTTTGAACGCGGGTGTTAATTATCGATCTAATATCAGCGTAAATATGAAATTCGTCATTATATCATATGTAATATTAAGAATTAATGAAATAACGCGTTAAAAGGATACCAAACCGGGCAAAGAATTAGATTATCTCCTCGTGCGAGCGAATTCTTGGAGCGGCAAACCAGTTTATATCGAATTATGGGTATGTATTTAACCATATTTTTATACTTGCACAATTGTACGATTAGAAAAAACGTAATAAAATATTGTTTTAGCAACCAAAAGAACTTTTCACCATCCGACAGCAGCAAACGCGAACGGAAACGCGCGGAATTATTACGTTAATCGGTGAATTGGATTTCGAGACGCAATCGATGTACACTCTCACCATTTACGCGATGGTATGCATAATCGTTTTACCCATAAATACAAAATATAAAAAATGCGCGTACTACCAAGAGTGTATCTGATTAATAGGATCCTTACACGGAATATGGAAAAGACACTAGAAACATCGCGGGGGTAACTGTTGTCGTAATAGTTCAAGACGTGCAGGATGAGCCGCCAATTTTCACCTTAGCACCGCCTTTAACAAGACTTAACAATTCTGTACAAATTGTGAGTTTAATGTATTATAATTTACGCTGACGAAAAAAGTGATGAATTTTATCGTATGTTAAAATCGATGAGGAATATATATTCCATACTTTCAGCCAAATTATTGTCAATTGGCGCATAATAAATAATTCTCTAAGCCATTTGTATTATTTCTAGGGCGATGTGATATTACGAGTTCATGCGGAAGACGGAGATAAGGGAGTACCGCGCGACATCATATACGGTCTGGTGTCCGAAAACAATCCTTTCGTACCATTTTTTAACATCTCAGAAATCACCGGTAAGAAAACACTGAACAACTGATATTATTTTGCACGCGTTTGATAGAGAATTCAGAGACTCGAAGGAAAGTAATCTCAGTCATCGATTCATTCTCGTTCCGTTTAATCCTTAATCCTCAACCGCGTAAGATCTAATTGTGCTAATTGTGTGAGATTGAACAAAGACTATGTCGATTAAAGGATTTTCCCTATCGCGCGGATGCAAATTGGAATGAAAATGTAATTAATTTACTCGTCGAGTTGAGTCATCACTAATTCTCCGATCCATCGCACGTCGCTCGCCGTTTCTAGCTTCTACCTGACAGTTTCGATGTCAGAAAAAGGACGATGGCGTTGATTCATATTCTTCTTTGATATACAAAGACTGACCTCATTTCGTGAAAAGTGCCGGACAATGATTAAGCAGAGAAATTCGCTCAATGCCGCACACTTCCATTTCTCGATGGTGAAACCATTTGTTCCACTTGCGCATAAAGTTCGCGGAACGAATCATGCATACGATTGTGTTGTCCCCTGATTCATGCACATTATTCATTTTCTATAGATAAAAGATAATCAAAATTATGCAATATGTGAAATCTTATAAAAATTAGAACCGTAGATTCAAACCAAATATTAAGAAAGAGAAAATATGGAATTATTCTTAGAAATCTGAAAGTTAGCTAAATAATTTGGTCAAATGGATAAAATTTGGATGAACGAAACTTTTCAATAATTTTAATTAAAATTAACAAATCTAATTTCTTTTATAAACCAACCCAGTTTTATGTTCATAAATTTTCTTAACGCGAGTAGAATCTCGCGTTACGCACGAATGCGAAATTATGGGCGAAATTCTTGTTATCTGCCATTATATATCGGAGGATATCAGACTTTTCGTGAAAGCCCAAATGAGTTGGGCAGGAGCGCGAGAAATTGGCAAGAGTAAACACAAGAAGCTAAAGGTGGTCGGAATAAGTCTGGACAGCCTACGGCCACGTATCGATCGTTCTCAGGGGTCAGTCTCTGCTTTTCAACCTGCGATGCTTATCATTCCGTGGCAAGGAGCATGCGATACGTACTGCGAATCTTTGCGTGTGCGAGTTCCACCTACATTTAGCGATGTATACGTACATTTACGGTTACGAACGAATTCTTATGTCGATTCCGCCTATGGTACATTATGTAAAATTATTGCCGGCCAGTGTGCGTGTATGTATAAGTCGAGAAGTCTAAGAAATAACAAGGATAAGAGATTTTCTATCCATTATTTCCGATGTTTTATTCATTTTAAAAATGATACAGATAGCATTAGCATGATATATAAAAAACAATGAATCAAATAAAAACTATGCGCATGGAAATAAAATATATCTTGTTGAAATATGTATTATGTAATATAAAACACATAAAACGTGATCAATTAATGTTTCAAAAAATAAAAATTTTTAAAAATATTTTAAGCAGAAATCATTAGAATTTCGATAAATACATTTACTGGCCGTAATAATTTTTATATGATGTATAGCACTGTTTCTAATAAATCACAGAAACAAGCATTTTTTTCAAATAAATATCTGAAATAATTTATACAAATTTATTTGTAATTTTATATAAAAATAATTATTTGAATAAAAATGAATCGATCGTTAACGCGAACATTATCGCTTGTTTAGGTGAAATCATTCTCGCCAGATCTTTAGAGGAACTCACGCAAATTACTCATGTCGGTGCGCCAATTGTACTCACCGTAGTTGCTGAAGAGATACGAAGATCACGCGACGAACCTCCAGCTATGGCGACGGTGGTTGAAGTCGGTTTTCTTCTCGGAGAACCGGGCAACAGTCCGCCGTACTTCGAGAATGATAAGTTGGTACCTGAAAAAAAAACCGTGATTATTAGTATGTGATGTATATTGTTGTTGACATCATTATATTTTTCTAACACTTTGTAACACAACGTTAAGTGAAAAGAAAATTTACATTTTTAATATGGCTCATGATACACATGAATAATGTAATTTCTTATCAAGATATTTGTATTTGATCTCATTATATATTTATGTGATATCCACTTATATCAAACATATTATTTACAGCTACATTACAACAATACCAGAGAACTTAGATCCAGGTACCGTGATAATGTTTCCTGAACAATATACGACTAGAGTCCATGACGAAGACATCGGCAAGGCCGGTGTGTTCGCGTTGAAGCTACAGAATAACAATGGCACATTCGAGATAAATCCGGCTGTTGCTGAAAGAACGGCGGATTTTGTTATCACAGTACGAGACAACACACTCATCGATTACGAGATATACAAAAGTTTATCCTTTAAGGTACGCATTTTAAATCGTTCTAATTGCATTGCATTATCGCATAAAAACAACAAAACTGAGTAAATAAAATTAATTTTATCACATTCCACTAAATAATTACTGAGTCTTAATGTCTAGTTTGTATTTTTAATGAATACTTATATATGTTTCATGTATAATATAGATTATTGCTCAAGAAGTTGGCCCAGCGACAAATCTATCAGCATCAGCGACGGTTTTAATACTTATAGAAGATGTAAACGATAACTCGCCAGTGTTCGACGAAGAATCTTACGAAGTGACACTGTCCGAAAATGTTACCGCTGGAACACGAGTTATTCAAGTAATTATATATATTTTTCTTTAATAAATGTAATAAATTCTGATCAATTCTTTAAAATTAAATTTTACTATTCTTCTCCTTTGATGTTGACTCGAAGAAAAATCAAGATTTTATTGAAATTTTAGGTGCATGCAACCGACAAAGATACCGGACTTTTTGGCAGTATTCAATATACCGGTATAACAGGACAAGGAAATGACGCCTTCGCAATAGATCCCGATACAGGTTTAATCACGGTCGCAATGAGCTCCTCTCTGGACCGTGAAATGGCAGCACAATTGCAATTAACTGTGAATGCGCGTGATGAAAACGGCAAGGGTAATTTGGGCGTTGCACCTTTAATAGTGAATATTCTGGACGTAAATGACAACGCGCCAATATTCGAAAAAAGTGTCTATGAATTCACATTAAATGCCGATTTAACGAATTTTACAATGCCTGCTTTTATAAAAGTAAGTTTATGAACGTTCTATGTGTAATTTAATTAAATATAATTGTATAAAATTTATTGCAAAATGCAGTCTTTTAGCAACAGCTTTGTTGGAAAAATTACGAATAAAATATTACATTAATTTTTATACATGAGAAAATAATTACTACTTAAAAATTGTAATATTTCTGTGATACCGTTTTTCAGGCCACCGACGCTGATGCCGAGCCACCGAATAATGTGATTCGTTATGAACTGATCCACGGAAATTATGAAAATAAATTTTACTTGAACGAAATTACCGGTGAATTAATATTACGTTCGCCCATCACGAAATTCAGACGAAAGAAGCAAAGTATTTACGATCATTTTTCGAAAAATACACAAAGGATTTCAACTGGATCAACCAGATCAACCGGAACGTGTGACACAAGAAATCGTAACGAAACCAACAATATCCACAGATATAATAAATTCCACAGAACACATTACAAACGACATCAATTTAAAAGACCAAGTTGGCGAGATAAAAAAGCATCGAAGAAAACGAGCGGAGACTGATATTTTGTACACTTTAACTGCCAGAGCGTATGATCTCGGTAAATAATAAAATAAATATTCATTTATATCACAAAGTACGTGAGAAAACTGAAAATCTTATCTATCTAAACGGAAAAGTCACTCTCTTTTTCTCGTCAACGTGATATTTCAGGTGTGCCTCATCTCGCGAGCGAAACAGAAATCTCTATTGTCAGAGGAACTGCCATGGAAGCTCGCATAATGATGTTTGTGGTGCCTGGAGAACATCCAAATTTAACGAAAACCTCCGAGACGCTGGCTACTATCACAGGTGGACGAGTGACAGTATTAGACACACGTCCTTTTATGCCGAGTAATAAATCTGGCAGTGCTATTCCGGCGGAAGGAAAAAGGTTAATCGGGATTCATGAGAATTACTGCATGCATAAAATATTCGAGCGCTGAATATTTAATCAATCGTAAATTTTTTCACACTTCTACTTTGTTTCACTCTTCGTTGCTAGAACGATCGTGGTAGCTCGTGTCGAACAAACCGAAGTCGGCGCACCCTTGGTAGACGTAGAAAAAATACGCAATACATTGGCCGCGAATGGGGTGGGTATTATCGGCGGTGCAGGCACCGCCAACGTATCTATGGCATACAGCGACGTGACTACCACGAAAAGTCCAATCGATGGAGTCATTCACGGGGGAAATAACGCGGGGACTTATGTAAACAAAACAATCACCAACGTTCACGAGGAAGTAGTGAGTAAACATTGATTGTGTCCATATTCGTTAACTTTGTCATGCGGTATTAATTTTTCATCTAAATTATATCCGACACATATTTTGTAAAAATTGTTTATCAAAAAATTGTATACTTTTAATTTATTAAAAAAATTATATGTACCATTCTTCCTTTGTTTCTTTCATTCGCGCCTCTCAAAGTTCAATAATATCTTTTACGTTGTTAAACATTCATGCAATCATATTTTTCTTTTATTTCGGTTGGCAATTTTCCATTTTAGAGAAATGAGAGATCAGAGTTCTTTTTCAGACTGTGTACAAAGCGGAGAATAAACTACTCTTTTGGTTACTGATTATTCTGGGTCTGCTGATGCTGCTAGCAATCGCGGTGCTTATCATTTGCTGCATCTGCCCGGGCTGTCCATTTTACATGGCACCCAGAAAGCGCAGGATATATTCATCGGAAACGACGATCACTCGATTCAATGGTAGGCCGAAACGGCATCTCCATCGGAAACCAATAGCCGCAGGCGATAGTAAGGATAGCAATTATCCTTCATCAAATATTTCAGTTTTAAACGTTTAAATATGTTTGTAAGGCTACTGTTTTAATTAATGTTCTAAATGTATTTAATTCACGCTATGTAATATTTTGATAGAATTATTTTTCTACAAACAAAAAACATTTTAATTAACAAGAGTAATATAAATACGCAGTTATATTGAACGGAAAAAAGCAAGCTTGGAGCGCGGATCCAACTCGAAGAAATTGGCAATTTAATCGCCGAAATGCGAAGAACGGTGGCCTAGCGTCACTTCCTGGCGACGTTGTGTACATTTCGGAGCGCCCTCCAATCGACCAAGCGAACGTGGAGTCACTGAGGTTACGCGACGGTCTGACCTACGATCCTTCCAGGAGGAGGAGAATCGAGGAGCAGGAGAGAATGTACGTGGAGGACGTCGAGGAGCGGAAAATGAGAGATTACGCGGATGCCGCGGACGCGGAATCCTTGCAACAGCACGAAATCGAACGTGATTCGGATATTCTGCGTCAGGCTTACAGACAAAGGTGGATGTGTCACGATAAAGTGTTTTTAGACATTTTGCAATGATTATTAATGTGATTCCTAAAAAGTAAAAATTGAAATTATATATGTAAAGTAATTTAAAATGCAAAATATATTTTTGTAATAAGATTTCTCTCTAATGACATATATACATCGCATTTTATTACAGATACGTCGATCCCGATTCGAACAACGAGCCGGCGGTAAGAGAGCAACATTTTTACCGCGAGGGAAACGCGGAGGTGCTGCAGTTAGTAACGCGGGGGCAAGTGGAGGATACCAGCCAACGTCATCATTATCCGACGACTTTTATAGTGGACGGCAAGGATGTGCTGCTGCAGCGGTTTATTCAGGATCAAAAAACGAGACACGATCTATCCGTACAGGAATCCGACATGCGCACCGTCGAATCTCACAGACGCCCGAAAAATTTATATCAGCAGGAAATCCTTCTCCTGCCGGACGAACTGGAAATTAGACATCGACGCGGGGAAGAAATGGAATCTAGCGCGCAAAAGCTGGCGATGGACGACGGATACGCGGCGCAGAAGGTAGACGCGGGATCGCAGATGCGAGATGTCCACCGTAAAGAAGCATCAATGGACGCGCCCGGGATTTCGTCTATGGACAAACCGACGATCGCCAAAGAACAAATGCAATCGTACGCGTTTCACGATCTAGAGCTGGCGAGGCAGAACGTTCTGCTGACACGATTGCTACTGGAGAGAGAATCCAGGCATCCAGCTGGCGGCGTGATGACGGACGCCGCGAGCTATCTAGAGACTCAAAGTCTTCCCGGACAGGTGGCCATCGCGACGCAAACCGATCGCGCCGCTGCGACGCAGACGGAACAGCACATTCGCAGCAGAAGCGATAACGATGAGTCCGACGAGGATGCTCGAAACCGAAGAAAAACGAAGTCGAAGAAGCGCTACGGCGAAAGCGAGTTGAAGAGAACGCGGACTTTGTGGATGAAGTCGCCCATCGAAGAAGAAGAAAGTCCGTGCTTCGACAAACGACTGAACATTTTGAGGAAGAAGGTGAAGGAAGTAAAAGAGGGGCGAAAAGTGCCCCTGGAGCCTGAAGTGCTGCGAGAAATCTCGGACTCTCTCGACGAAAACGGAAGTATTTCCCGCGAGAGGGAAGAAACATCGGCGAAAACTTGTCAACAGTCCACTGAAGGGAGTAGCATCGCGTACAAAGTACTGGGTGCCGAGAAAAATGGTTCCTCTTCGTCGACGGAGATCGACAAGCAACGAGCTAAAGAAACTTTCGATGAGAAAAGAGCGGAGAGCCTATCGTCCCCGGAAATAAACGCCGATGATGGAAAATACATTCGCGAAACGGAGAAAAAATGTTCCAAGAAGGAAAGTAGAATAAAAAAACAGAAAAAAGTGGAATCTATAATAAAACCGAGCTTCCGCGTTTTGGAGAAGGAGATTACGATGCTGACGAAGAAGCTAAGTAAACTCGCCGATAAAAGAGTGCAGCAGACTACGGGAGATGAAAGCACGAGTCAAGAAAAATCTAAGATATCAAAGGAGTCCAAGAAAGACTCGGATCAAAGCACATCAAAGAAATCGGAGGACTCAAAGAAACACAAACGATCCGACACTTCGCCAGGTGTATCGAAAGAAACGAAGAGGGAAAAATTCAAGTATCAGCAACCGCAGGTTATGAGTCCCGGCAGTTCCGAGTACGAGGATACGCTTGAAAAGCCGAAAAAATCGAAAACGGAAATTTGCCAAGAAGCGCCGAAGCATAAGCAAACAACCAGTCACACGAGAGTGAAAAAACAGACGCAGATTGAGCGTAAAGAACGCAAGAAACAGATCACTCGGCAGGATCGAGAATCCACGAAGCGTAAAGATGTCGTGAGCAAAGAAAGCAAATCGGATTCGAAAGTTGAGAAAACTGCCAAATTATTGTCGCGCACGCACAAATTGGCAGCTATCGGTCGTAGAGAGCATATTTCGGAGGAGTTCAGTACAAGTACGAGTTCCGATCGAACAAACGACAAAAAAGATCCGTTCGACAAGAGAAGTTCCGAGTCAGAAGTCCTATCGAATCACGCAGATCAGCAAAAATCGAAACGTAGATTTGATCACGTAAGCGAGAGATTTTCGGACGATTTTATAACAGAGTCGCAGATGGAAGATGTCGATCAGCAAAGTACGCTTCGTTCCACGGGTACAAGCACGCGTAAAGAAGACATCGTAAACGGCAAAAGAGATGTTAAAATAACACAACAATTTACCGACAATTTTGTGACACAAAAGAAAGACGCGAAATATCAAATGCAAGCCGCTGAAAGTGAAATTGAGCAAAGTGCATTCTACGACAAAGAACATTTGAGTTTAAAAGAAGCAGCTATCATAACTGAAATTAAACAACATATACCCATTGATTTTGACAAAAAGCAATCTGAATTTTCTGAGTCTTACAATATAAAAGAATCGAGCGAGAGAAAAATTCCTGTGGATTCTCCTGTTCTAAAAGAACGAGAAATAGAGAGATCACCATCACCTAAAAGTATCATTACAGACAAAATAATTTATACATCCGAAAAGCGCAAAGAGGAAATAGAACAACCTAAAATTGAAGAAGAAATGTTAGAAAAAGAGAAAACTGTACCAGAAAAAGATGTATACGAATTAAAGAAATCAAAAAATGCCGAACAAATAAAAGGAGAAGCAAATATTCTCGAAAAAGAAAGTCCGAAAGAATTAAGCGATGCAATGGAACACGAAAAACACAAGACAAACGGACATAGCGATATTATCGCATCACTATTAAAAATTGAAGAAGAATTAAAAGATGCTACACATTCATTACGCTCAATTGAAAAAGACAAAATTGTGGAATTATATAAAACTGAAAGCGAAAAAGAAGAATCAAGTCATGAATCAAAAAGAGATAGCAAAGAGGAAATGCATTTAGAAGAGAATATGATAAACACTGAGCAAAGTGTGGTAAGGAAGTTGAAAAGAGAAAATGCAATAGCGGAGGATGATTCGTTAGATAGAATTGAAAGTACCGTAGAAGAGAAAATGAAAATTACGGAGATAGATATCAATGGACATCAAGATATTATCGAAAAACCGGAAGAAACTTCAAAAGAATTCATAACAGAAATTGATTTGGATAAAGACGTAAAATCAACGATTGAAACATTTGAAGAATCATCCGATAGCAATCGATCTTTTGTAATATTATCTAAAGATAGTGCCGCAAATTCAAACGGTAGCCCCCACGCGTTTACAATCGACGATGACACGCTAATGTACATCGATGAAACTAGTCCAGAAGAAGATTCAACTCAGCCAGAGTCCAGTGAAACAATAGATGTTGCGAAAGAAAACACTGATAAAGATAAATCGGAGAGCTTGGACGATTCCAGTGCAAAAACAGAAGTCGAAAGCCATGAAATTGAAAAAGAATCGCCGCAAAAAATATCCGATCTCGAAGAAACAAAAATGGAGAGACCCGATGGAGACAAGCCTTTAGCGGAAATTGCCACTTCCAAAGAATCACTTCCGGAAGAACACGAAGAAAGAGCAAAAAAAATATCCAGCGCAGAAGAAAGACCCGAAGGAGAGAAAAATGGAAGAGAAAGATTGCCCGAAGAAAAAGAAAGATCCGATGACGAAGTAAGAGAAGTACTTGATAAAGAACCTCCTGATTTACCGACAGATCCGAATCAGGAGAAATCAGTTGAATTAGACAAAGCGAGCAAATCTGAGACAACTGTTGAGAGCACAGGCGCCGCAGAACCGCAAGACGAAGGACCGCAGCAAGCAGACGTAAGCGTTCCAATTTTTAGCAGCTTTATTGATGATACACTCGATATTTCGGAGGAGAGCGACTCATCCAGTGATATTTCCAGGAAAACCACGCTGACCACGAGTCCTTACGACACTCCGCGCCACCGGCAAAAGTGGCAGCAGCAAGACAGTCTTGAGATAGCAGGAATGAAAATTGAAGATGGAAAAGACGCAAGTGCGGAGGCCGAGCTGGAAGATACAGATAGTAATTTGTCGTTTGATGAAATAGAAAATATAGAGGATTCGATCGCGATCGAAGCGGCAGTCGATGAACCGAAAAAGGATGCAGAAATTGTCGCGATGTCCGAGAAGCTTTCGGTCGGTGATGAAAAAGTCCAATCTGATTTGGAAAAAATAAACAATGAGGATAAAGAAGACAGAGATTTTGCGTCACTAGTTGAAAAAGTCGTAGAATCGAAAGCTGATGTAAAAAAAGATTTATTAACAATTCAAGATAAAGTTTTTCCAAGCGCCAAGGAATTAAACGGCACGCCAAAAGAAAATGTTAAAGATCAAAGCATTTCGGTAACAAAAGAGGACACGGAAAATAAAAGTGAGAGTGCTACGCTACGTAGAAAGACCGAGGAAGTCTTTGAAACTGTAAAACAAATAGACAAAAGCGAAATTAGATCGCCTTCAAGACAAACTGAGCAGGTGGTCGCGCAAGGAGATAAAACAAGCATTGAGGACACCAAAGTAGAAAAGACTAGAACTAAAGACACTGAGATGGACAAAACGAATAAAGATAGTAAAACTGGCACACCATCAACGTCGGAGAAGCACGCTGTGAAAACTGAAGCTTCTGAAAATTCCGTAAAGAAAAAAAAGAAACTTGAGCGAACGAGAGCGCTGGAAGACAAGAAGCATGTTCCTGATGAAGAATCGAAAGAAAATGCGGCGTCGAGTCACTCTCGGCATCGATCTCGCAAGACCATCGACGATGACATACAAGCGAAAGACGCATCGCAGTATCAGCCGCGAAAACAAGCGCCGTTCAAATCGAGATTCAAGAAATCTACAGTTTCTCCGAAAACCGGCGAGATCGACGTAAGCAAGACGCAGTCGAAATATATGGCTTGGTACAATAAGAAACGCGAAGAGATGGAGAGAAAAAGACTGGAAAGAAGAGCGGAAGACGAGGAGCAGCTGCCGCGCTGGGCGAGCAGAAGCTTGCGGCAAACGGTGAGGCAAAGAGAGAAAGGCGCGGAGCACAAGACGCCGGAAATGACGCCGCGCACCAGACGCAAGATCAAGCCTCTGGTGAACGTCGAGTCCGAGCAATTGAAAGCCATCGTGCGCCAAGGTCGGCGAATGAGAAAGGCCGAGGGCAATCTTCAGGAGGACCCGCCGATCGAGATATTCGCGAGGACACCTCCGGTTTCCACCGCGGACACGCAGCATCGTCTGCAGCAACACTCGGAGTACAAATACGAAAAAATACCGCCGCCGTTTTACCTTCATCCACCCCCGGCGCCGCATCCGTCGCCGCAACTGTCGCCGGAGAGATCGTTCGGAGAGGTGCAACCGTCTATATCGCAATATGAACGAATCGAGGAGGACGAGCTAGAAGCTGCGAAAAACGTCGCGCTCCAAAGCGGCACTCGCTTGCGCCATCAACAGCTTCTCGAGAAGAAGAGCGTCTTCGATATCGCGTACAGTGAAGCGGCGCCATCGCAATTGCGATCCGATAGCACAACCCCGCCATCCTAATTCTTATCGATATCACAGACTTCTGTAGGGAAAATTATGTATAGTTATTTATTTTCTAAATGTTGCGCGGAATAGACTGCAATGCATTTCTAATCGCGTACTCTTTACTTCATAAAGCAATAATTTTATATACATATCTATATTAAACGATTAAAATAGCAAAGTGATGTCTTGTATATATCTTTGTAGCGCCATTTTACTAATTAACTTACCATTCGTTTTTTAATCACTCTCGTTATAGCAAATTTAAAATTCATTTAGGAAGCAATATATCTCGGTCGTTTAGCTAATGAGAAACAATTCTCATCGTCTTCGACGTGTCTCGACGTTTAAAATGCATAAAATACTTCCTGTAAAATAAGAAATGTATGCAATTGTTTGTAATATAGACACAATATGTTTACGTTACTGCCGATGAAATCTGATATAAACTGATCTTTTACTATATGTAGCGAATTGGCGACCAATTTTATATACTATTATATCCAGGTATAATAATGTTTATACATATGTATCGATCCTTTGTATATACGTATATAAATGCATGTTCTACACAATTAACATCCGTTAATTAATTCCATTTTCTTGGCTTCCTATTTAAATAATTTCAAGATATAATTTAGTGTTTTATATTCAATATTTAGATACATATATTTAAAGTATGTCTAAATTCTTTTGCCAAAATTTCTATAAATTTGATCGGTAAAATTGAATTTTTCAAAACAAAGTTAAAAAATATGACTGCAAAATTTGGCGATCTAATTTAAAATTACCTTATATATATATATTGTAATTTTTATAATGTTGTTTAATATGAATTCATCACAGCAAAATTATGTGTCTTGCATAAAATAATGTGCATACGTGTGCAATATAAATACAATGCAGCAATTATCGTAATGCCATTGACATTACAACAATCGTCTGCATAGAAGTCGGAAGAAGCTAGCTTCTGCCACTTCTGCTTCGCTGCTACAAAAATATCCTCAACGTCGCTTTTCCACTAGCTATCTTTCCCCAACCAATTTATCTGCACTCGATGTGCTGTCTGACCAGCCATTATCTGACCCGCAGAATGATCATACAGTCGTAAAAAACATTTTTCATTATCTAATTGCAATATCGCAAGATATTGCATTAAATGCCACAGTGTTGATGCCAAACATTAATATCAACCTTCGGAATGATAAGAGAACCACTTTATATACGTTCATACTGAAATTGTTAAAATAATTCAAAGTTTAGTGTCTAGAAAATAAATAATTACTTTGAGAAATGCAAGAATTAAAGATAATTTTACTTACATGTTAATCATTATTTTTAAATATTATGCACAATGTGTTATATGTATATTATATTATGTTACACAGAACAATTAGAAAAAACAGTGAAAAGTTGACTAAAGAACACGGTTTTGAGTTCTCCAATATTCTTAACATTTTGTGCGCAATATTAACGTTTATTAATTATTAACTTGCGTTGAAAATGCATAATTGGGACAGGAAAAAAGTCGGAGCTATCTCGTCGTGACGCTGGACGATAAACGGGGCGATTCATCGTATTGTTGACGCGCGTTGACGCCCAGTCGAGTGTTACTGATGACGTACGCGTTAGCCACGCAACGCAAACGATTACGTGTCTCATCGGCTTTGACGTGTTGGCGGTGTGTTACTGACGACAGAGGTGACGTTACCGATGCAACTAACCTACCGTAATCGAAAACATAATGGTGCATCAAACATAACCGGAGACTGGTAAATCTTTGGAATGGGGGAGCACGATGGGCGAGCTGGTGGCATCGCCCGAGCGCAGCTCCGAGGCCGTGCGGCTCGCCCGAGATTACCGCACCGAGTCTCTTGCTCGTGCGTATGCCTGCCTGCTATCTACGGAGCTTATCAGCCGGCCGTTTGTGACACATTCGACCCCGGCAAACTCTCGCTGTGAATTGACAATTGGTTGGTAGTTTACGGTAAATACCCGCCACATAGGCTTAAGAGGCGCATGTCCATCTGTTGCTGCAGCGAACTGCACAATGAACTTGACTGAAAGTTGAGGAAAATTTTTTTTCAATTATTAACAATTATTAATTAAGAATATAATAAAGGTGGAATACATTATCACATTATGTGTAAATGTATTATATTAATGATATTGTGATAAAAAATGCTGTTAAATATCAATAATAGTTTTTATGATTTTAAATATAATTCCAGTGTGGAATTAATATTAATATTAATATTGATAAAAATTATCATAAAATACAACTTGCATAAATTAATGCAGCAACGAATAATGTATATACAATATAAATCAATTATATTTTACAACATTAATTTTTCTCAACACGTTATTTATCAGTTTCATCTTCCATTTGCAACTACTATTAGTAATAACAGTCATAAGAATATTTGTACATCGATACAAAAAATCCGGAGTAGTCTGTACGGTTTCGCTAAAACTGTTATTTTGCAACAAACACACATCACGATTTACCATTGCCATAATGTTGTAAATTTACATCATCACAACTGATCTCTCAATTTCATCGATGTCATCTCGGTATCACCGCCGTCAGATCGGATTAAATGATGTTATTTCAGCCGCGGCAGTCGTGCGACTGTCGCGCATTATCGACAAAAGATATCCTTGTATGAACAATGGACCAAATGTTAATTGTTGTTAATAAAGAGTCATGTATGTTGCTGTTGCAACGGCGAGCAGAGCCGCGGAAGAGGCTGCACCTGTACCAGCTGTGCGCGAAGCGCAAACACACCTGAAACCTTTGACCTTTTCATCGACGCTCGCCTCTCCCGCCGCCGACCATCGATCTTCCCCTCGTCCACCCTTTCGAGCCCTTCGCCGACTGCAATCCCATCGAGCATCGCTACTGTAAACTGAACGCGACGCTCTGAAAGCAGCAAAGCCGCGACCGGTGCACTTGATTCGATTACTCGATGAGACGATACGTCGCATGTTGCAACTCGGCTTTTATGCTCGTGCAGATATACAATAGCATAAAGGAAATTTCGCTGGAGCGCTACATGTATTGGATACGATTGGAGTGCTGGAATGGAAACAAACAATCGCGACGCTACAATAGACGAAATTCAAAATAGTTAATGCAATTTAAGACACAATTTGATAGAACACAGTTTGTAACACAATTTGTAGTATAAACAATGTCCTATAATATTATTCAGAAATGTTTGATCTTCAGTTTTCTTTTGCATCGTCTACTTTCGAAATCGTGCAATTTTTATGGTTTTTGTACGCTTCTGCCTGATCTTTTATCTACGTAAAATATTGGTTGGCAATTGACAAACATGGACGGAAATATTTTATCTCCGCGACTGACTTTTGGAGCGTTATTTTTCGCGGGTGCTAGCGAAACATTGGTCCAGCCCTGGTGTTTCACACGGTGCACTATTTTCGCTTTAATTGCAATCGCAAATATAGAGTGCGCGGCGCGGAGAGCTCGACGTGCGTGTAAGCGGAACGGGCTTGGCCCGGTCCTTAATAGCCATCAATCATTGCCAAAATTCGGCAACGCGTCGGACAACACGGGCGGCAGGATACCATCACCAAAGTAGAGTTCTCCGGGACCAACGGGGCAAGGAGAGCACGGGGACGGGGGAAGGGACCGAGTGAGACATGGAACCCGTTCGATACTTCCGAAAACTCGGCCCGACCACTCTACGCTCCGCTTACGTTCACACGAATCCACCGTGTCACCAACACAAATTCGCGTCAACGCGCGCCCAAGCGCTCATGCGAACGAATAAGGCAACCAAACGGGAGAAGGGCGGTGAACGGAGTAAATGCAACACGGTAAAACCGATCTATTTTGAAAAGTGCTCGAAAACAAAACAACGCATCTCACTGATGTAGTCAGCAAACGAACAATTTTTCATTCTGGGATAAATCTTGGAAACTCGCTGACTGAGAAAAATTCATTACAAATCCGTGAAACTCTCCGGTTCAATCTCAAACTAACCGCGCGAAAGCACGTTTTCTGTAGAATATCCGACTTACATTTCACGAAATCACGTTTCTGCAATGCCGCGAATCTTTTTTACACACGCTTGTGCGCTCGCGGATTACATAACAGCTCGATATCCCGATATTTTCTGACCGTTCGGTAACAGTAAATCGGAAGCGCGGCAACTGCAAAAGTACTGATGGACATGCTGCGGTAGATTTCAATTAGATTAAGAGCGAAATGCGATTACGTGTCTCGCCTCGCGTTCGATGTTACAGCGGACGCAGCCGGCGCGCTACTGTCAGCGTGCCCGGAAGCGGTCGAGCTAAGGTCCAGAGATTAATCAGGCAGCCAAGGGAAACAGACCACCTTGCTTCCGGGTCGGCTTGAGAGCATATAATTAGATATCGAGAGTTTCACGTTCGGTTTCACTACGGCAAAATTTATATCCAACTTCAAAGCAACTCCGTGCGAACTTCCCGGTCGCCCGGGCCACGTGAAAGGTTTGCGCGGACACTTAATTGGAGGGTGTATCCGATGCGACCTGCAAATGCTATTTGCATATCAAACGAACTGGTCTAATGACACGCCGGCGACACTTATTTGCCTGCATAAATCATGCCCGGACTTGGGCGATCGAGATGCGACCATTCCGGAACTTCGGTGTAAGCTAGCTCTAAGTTTAAGGCAGCCGTGTAGAACGATAATTGCTTTCTAAATACAGTGCGAATACAATGTACCTTAACCGTTCGCGTGCGAGCGGAGCAGGTGCTTCCCTTGGCTGCCGCCTGCTTAATCTTCGGACCTTGGCTCGCCCGCTTCCGGGCCCGCCGACAGTCTCGCGTCAACTGCATCGGTCGTCACATCGGACAAAGGACGAAACGCGTTTCGCTCTAAATCCAACTGAATTTTATTCGCTGTAATCGATTCCACCTCGTTAAATCTTAAAACTTTTCTTATATTATAAAAATAATTAAATTATATAAATTATATTAAGAAATTGCTCTCATATATCAAAGTAACAGAGCCGAACATCGAGTGCATTGTAAGTCAACTGATTCCTATACTTAAGAGAAACTTTAAATACAAGCTTTATCATCGCGCGTGGCAAATCGATCGCGATATCTCACTGTGAGACATACTTTCCACTCCACTCCCGAAGCTTTTATCTTTTGTTTGCCGAGCGTGTTCGATAAAACTGCACTGCGCCGCGAGATCTTGGCCGGGCGGCGTACATGAACATACGCGACTCTCAGGTCGTCTGACGTAACGCACGTAATTGTCCGGTGTACATGTATCCGGGGAATATGCGAAACAAGAGCCGAGTCACATGCCTCGTGTACTCGCGCGTAACCACCGTGTCTTTTTTGCGGGAATGTCCGCAGCTGGATATCCCCGTGCAAAAGTTTCACTCGGATTTTACAGATATCCCTCCCGTTTCTCTCCGGAGACATGAATCGGAGCAACGACGCGTGGAAGAAAGAAGACGCGGTGTCATTAAAGTATTACATTGCGAATTTGCTCGTAGTATTTGGATATGCCCGGATTTGGCCCGACGAATCGTTTGTGCTGTGCAAAATATTTTTTTCCACGGCGGCAACGGCTACTTTCATTTCGGCAAATTTTGTGCTTCTGCTCTCGGAAATCGCCGCGCTAACTATGAGCAACAGTTTAGAATTGTTCGCCAATATCATCGGAGTTATTTGCATGCACGCTGTGGGCTTAATAAAATGGTGCTACTGTATAAACAAAAAACGAGAAGTCGTCGATCTCGTGATGAAATTAGAAAAATGCCACGTGCTCTGCCAACGGATCGATAGAAGCGAGAGAGGTACGTTAATTATGCATCTTCTGCAACTTGAAATTTATGTTTCGGAAAATTTACATTACAAAATTCACAATTTATCTTTCAATCTCAGAAAAAAAACAAACAAATTATTGCTTATACGGCATCGTGCAATTTTTGACGTTTTAAACGTAATGCTTTTAAATTAATTTGTGTAGATTTGCAGAAATGCATCCGTACTTTTTTATACAATATATTTTTCGTGAATCACTAGCATTTATTTATACTGAAAAAATACGAGCAATGGTTTTTTTTTCGTTAGGATCCCAAATATTTGCAAATGAAATGGAATATGCACGTCGATATTCCAGCTTCTTTATTTGGTGGTGGTTGTGTACTTGCATTTATGGCGTTCTACATTGGTGTGCCAATCCATTGGTTCTTAAATCTGGGACACCGGGCCAGATAAATTCGACGATTCACACATTCACGGAAAGAGGCTTGCCATTTATCGCGTGGTATCCGATGAATACTAATGATAATTATAATTATATTTGTCTGTATCTTTTGCAAGTAATCGGCGGATTATCTTCTGCGCTTGGAATCGTTTGCTACGACGCTTTTTACATCACCATGTTGATAATCATCTGTACACAATTTCAATATATCAACACGATACTGACGACTGATCCCGATAAGTACGATCGGCAACTTTTGTAAATAAACAAATTCTTCAATTATTGAAATTAAATTCTGAACTTTCAGCGTGTCAAAAGCACAATTCATTCTCGAGAGAAAATTAAGGAACTGCGTGGACTGTCATACAGAGATTATAGAGTAATACTTTTATAGATCAATTTTTGTAGATCAATATTTATAGAGAATCGCTTTTTAATTTTTATAATCAAATCTTTAATGTCCGAACATATCGCAATTCTAAAGCTTTTTTTGCGAATATCATCTTTGAAAAATACGTATATATAATATACGTATATAAAATACGTATATATAATATATTTCCAGATTTTTACAAATGTTACAAACTTTTATGGGTCCAACAATGTTCGTGCAATGCATCGAAACATTAGTTATTATTTGTTTAGTCTCTTTCGAAGCATCAACAATTAAAATTGCGGTATGAATTATTCCACATTTAATAATATGCGCATTTGATGCATTAAACATTCTGAATATTCACTTCGAATAATTAAATTACGAAGTTTGCATCTCAATAGATGGATATGGAGTCTATTTTAAAATTATGGGCTTTGTTCGAATACTTTTTATGCGCCAGTGTGCAATTATTCTCTTTCTGTTTCTCAGCTACGCGACTCCAATATTTGGTTAGTCGTGTATGTTAAAACATATGAACTTATTCCAGAATTTGTGATTATATTAATTCCAATTTTTGTGTACTATTTACAGGGCTTGCAAGTTGCATATTCAGTGTTTTCTTGCGGATGGGAGCTTGAAAAAGGAGGGCAATGGAGTTCCGAGAAACAGTTAAAGCATCGCGATACCGCTCGATTAGTGCAAACGATAACGCTACAAGCACAGAGACCGATTGTTTTAACTGGCGGTCCATTTTACACACTTTCGCTAGAAACTTTTAGAGCGGTAAGTAACATTTATGTGTGCGACAAATTCTAGAAATTCACCAAGTACTATCTTATTTTATTTCTAAAGTTTCATTAATCTTACACAAAATCTTCCTTTATCTTCTTTTAGAGATTACATTCGTCATCCATTTAAATTTCCTTTTTCATTAAGATTTACTTTATTACTGATACGTGCAACTTTTTTCCGTTTAAACATTAACATAAAATTCATATAAAAATGTAGCAGTCAAATATAAGAATAGATGACAATCGTAATCCATGCCTCCGTACTTATGTAAGAATAAATTTATCGCACTCTATTCTTAAACACAGATAAAATTTATGTTACAGATAATTAGTATGGCAATTTCAAATTCTGTAATGTTGCGCACAATCTCTGATGAGAATATCTGAGTTAAAATCAGCTCATCAGTTGCTTGTATCTAAAATATTATATAAATGTTTATATTTTAATAGAAAAGAATTTGTAT